CATCCCAATAATGTAAAGGAAGATTAGGAAGGCGTATCCAAACAGGGGAGGATAGCCCTTCCATAGATGCTGGAGAAAACCAAGGTGTCCACCGATCTAATCCCATGATATTTCCACCAATAAACCAAGGGCCACCACATAGAACAGCATCCCGAGCTTCAATTGACGAGAATATACAAACAAAGCATTAAAATCCCAGAGTAGTGAGCTGAAACTCACCAAAACGTCCCCATTGTCTCTGTATTTCCGATTTCAACAAAAAATAGGAGACTCTTCTCCCCAAAATCTTCCTGACAACAACTCTGTCAAGCTTTGTCACATTGGCCTTAACCGCTTCCAGATTAAGATCAACAAAACCATCCGATGAGATAGCATTAATCTCTTTCGGATGAGGGATCGGGATGTGATCCGGCTTCTTCCAAGGATTACCATTACCAGCAGAGAAAAGGGCTCCTACCTACCAAATTTTCCTCAGTCTTCCTTGGATTTGCAGGAATATTCTCCACAGCAACATTTCCACAACCATTTTGTGTGCTATGCAGCAAACCAGCCAAATCAGAAGCATCAGTATCTCCGCCAGTCACCCAAACTATTTCAGTAACAACAGATCCAGTCTTAGGAACAACACTATTTTCGTCCCTACCACCTCTAATCAGGTCATTCTTAATAGAACTCTCCTCCATCAGCAAATCTCCTCCAGGCATCATCTCCTGATTCAGATCCGCACGCTTAGGGATAATCACCATCGAACTAATCCGTCCAGGCATAGCAGCATCTACATCAAACGTTTCCTCCATCTCAGCACTTCCATTCATCATAGATCGAGTTTCTTCCATCTCCATCAATGATTCAACCCCATCGAACGTCGGATTGAGCATCATGCTCACTTCCAAGGCCGACATTAGCTCCATTTTCAAATTTGGAGGAAAATCCTCCCTCTTCGCTACAGTCACACACATATGACCATCGCCTTTGGCAGTCGGCATTGACCACTTAGTATCAGAGCTCCTCGGCTTGACCTTCCAGCGGCCTTCAAGAGATCCCTCCGATCACATCTTCGCTGCATCTCGAGTTTTATCTTTCGACTTAACAGTCGCAGGTTTACACGGAGAACCTCCAGATCCAGCTCCCGATCGTTCATCGTTCTTCTTCAAACCTCCAGATCCAACTCCCGATCTCCTACGCTCTTCACCGCCAGCCGTCTGTCACCACCACCCCCGTTTGAGCGAGGGGGAAGACTTTCGGTCGCCCCCCACCATACCCAGAGCTTCTCTCACTACAAATCGCCAAGAGAGAGAAAGAAATGGGCGGAAATGACTCTTGGGAGAGGGAGAGAGAGAGAGAGAGAGGGAGAGGGAGGGATAGGGGGAGGGAGAGAGAGAGAGGAATGCAAAGAGAGAGAGAGGGAGAGATAGAGATAGAGAGAGAGCGGAATGGAAAGAGATAGAGAGAGAGATGGAGAGAAAGAGAGAAAGAGAGAAGAAATAGAGGAATGGAGAGACAGAGAGAGCAAGAGAGAGGGAGACAGAGATAGAGGGAGGGAGAGAGAGAGATAGAGAGAGAGATAGAAAGAGATAGAGAGAGAGAGATTGATAGAGAGAAGAGAGAGAGGGAGAAAGAGAGAGAGAGAGAGTGAGAGAGAGAGAGGAATATGGAAAGAGAGAATGTATAGATAGATAGAGAAAGAGGGGGAGGGAGAGAGAGTGAGAGAGAGAGAGAGGAATGGAAAGAGAGAGAGGGAGAGATAGACAGAGATAGACAAAGAGAGAGAGAGAGAGAGAGAGAGAGAGAGAGAGAGAGAGTGAGATGGAGAGAAAGGGAGAGAGCGGAACAAAAAGAGAGAGCTGAACATGACATTTTGCCTTAATGAGAAAAAAAAGACAACTAGTTACAAGTAAACACTCAAAGTAACTATACCCTATCACTATCCTCAACAACCTCATGAGAGTTGAGGGAAAACCTCATTATTAACATCAAGAAAAGTAAAACTACCAAGTAAAGCTGTATTGGCACAAAAATCTGCTAGCAGATTACTATCTCTATTTATGTACTGAAATAGAACCTTCTTGAACCCCATCAAAAAAGAGAGATCTGGCCCCTCATAACTGAAATGGACCTTATTCTTTTTATCATAATTATGCTGCAGCCACTTGATAGCATTGATACTATCACCTTTTATAATGATCCCTTCTAAATCAATCATCCAATCCATAACAACCTCACGGATGGCAGCAGCTGCACTCACCTCAGCTTGGAAAGCATCCCAATGTTCAAATCCTTTCCCAACAGCAATTATCAATGCCACCTCAAAGTTTCGCACCACAATTCCAATCCAAGCCTTATTAGAAGGTTTCACTGCTGCATCAACATTGAATTTCAGAAATCCGGGGGGGGCACCATTGTTTCTGAGACGGCAACCCAACGGGCTGGATAGTACTCCATTGCTCCAAGATAGGTGAACAGTAAGTTTTAGGCAGCAGGGAAAGCACAGTAGCAGCAATGATAGATGGGGGCCTGCACTTCAGTTGTGTTTCAGCTCATTCCTTGCGCGCCAAACCTGATAAATAGTGTAACAACATATTCGTCCTAGGCTTGGGTTCTAATCCACATTAGCACATATCTCATTCATCAAATATGCTAATGAATAAATCATAGGCATTGCAAACCCCCACTTCCTCAGAATAGCAAACACATCTTTCACCTTAGCACACTGAGTTGTGCAATGGTTAAGATTCTCCTCCACTTGACAGCCCCACGGGCAAAGAAGGGTTGTCGATAATCCCCTACAAGATAGCCAATGCTTGGTAGGAATAGCATTCCTAAGGAGACGCCACCAGAAAAAACCTTCCCGCGGGTGCAATTTCAATTTTCTCATCCAACCGTAGTGGTAGTCACCATCTCCCCTCTTGGCCGTGTAGGCCATTGCAGTCAGTGTCATACTCATCCGAGAATGAATGAGGTTTGGAGCATCAATTCCATTGTTCCCATTAGTAGCAATGGCCATAATCCTCTCAGCCATAACCTTGCCAAAGCAGTTTTCCACCCGCTCCCCATTCCAGCTAGCAGAGTCATTATGCAGCCAATCCACCCTGATATTCTCCACTTCACTCACATTAACAAAAGTAGGCCATAAGTCTATATCCTTCAATCCAGGATCCAACAATCCCGCATCACATCAACACATTGGCCATTTCCAATGTTCCAGCGGATAATGGCTTTGAGGGCCTTGGCACCATCATTAATCACCTTCTAGGTGATGGAAGCTCTATACACTTGCATGTCATTCCATAGTTCCATGCCATACTTGGCTCTCACCATTCTATGCAACAGTGAGTTCGAATTGCTAATCACATGCCAAGCCACCCTAGCTCGCAACGGTCCCTACCAAGTGGCCAGCCCATGAAAACCAAGACCCCCATGGTCCCTAGGTTGGCACAGCTCCTTCCATCCAACATAATGCAATCCCCTATTATTAGAGTCCTACTGCCAAAGAAAGCCTCTCCCCATTTTCTCAATAAAGTGAAGGACACCCCTTGGAACTATAGTATGAGACATCAAATACATAGGAATATTAAGCAATGATGTACGGATCAACACCGCTTTGCCAGCAAAAGATAAGTGCTTCTTCCCCCAGATGTTCATCTTCTGGTGAGCATTCCGTATAATTTTATCAAAATCAGCCACCCTTAACCTCCTCATAACTAAAGGTAATCCCAGGTAATCCAGAGAATCCACCTTTCTGTACCCCATTAATTTAGCAATCGTGCGCTTCTTCTAGTTGGGGCATCTCCTACTGAAGAGAACAGCTAATTTCCCGCAGTTAATCCTTTGTCTGATCCAGGAGCAATAATCATCCAACAACTTCATGATACGAAGGGCATTACTCCTACTGGCTTTAGCAAACACGAGGATATCATCTGCAAACAACAGATGAGATATCCTCTCCGCATTTTTAACAACCTGAACTTCAAGCTGTCCCCCTCTCTCTAAAAGCTTTAGTAAGGAGCTTGTAATAGAGGATGAAAAGATACGACGACAATGGATAGCCTTGACGCAGGCCGCTCTCAGTATAGATCCAGGGCATTCTGTTTCCATTAATCCTGAGGGTAAACCTTGGCATGGCAACACATTTAATGATCCATTGAATAAAATGATCAGCGAATCCCATCAACGTCATCACCATTTTCAAAGTGTCCCAAGACATACAATTGCTCCATATCGATCTTCAAGGCCATCATCCTGGACTTTTGGGCTGAGAATTAGAACTTTTTCATCATTTCCTGAGCAATTAAGCCATGGCTGGAAATGGATTTCCCCATAACGAAGGCCCCTTGCTCCTCACTGATAATATTGCCCAACACCAGTTTGAGCCTGTTAATCAAGATCTTAGCCACAACCTTATAAAAGGATTGGCAAAGGATGTTCGGTTTAAACATTGCCGGCAAGTTTGCATTCTCTGTCTTAGAGATGAGAACAACTAACGTGTCTTTACAGCTTTCACACATACTGTTAGTGCAAAAGAAATGAACAATAGCACTAGTAACCTCCCATTTAATAATCTCCCAATAAAATTTCAGGAAAGAAGATGTAATACCATCCATACCTGGAGCACGATTATTCCCCATGCTGAAAACAGCTTGTCGAACCTCCTGCTGCATGATCTCCACCTCCAGGATCGCATTCACCTGATCAGGAATCATATCTTCTCTGTGAAAATTCGGCCAGCTATCATGAACAATTTGTCTCTCCTCCCATTTGAGCATAAACAACCTCAGGAACTCCTCCTGTATGAGAGCTGGATCATCAATCCTGTCTCCATTAGGATTCTGGACCTCCAGAATTTTGTTCCTCCTCATGCGTGCCGAGGAAAAAGAATGAAAGAAATGAGAATTGGCATCTCCTTCCTCGATCCACTTGGCCTTCTCTCTCTGTCTCCACAATGTTGCAATACGTGCCAAGGTGGCATTTAGCTCAGAGGCCTTTCTCCATATCTCATGATCCTACGCTTCATTCAATCCATCATTAGAAGTTTCAAGTTCTTGGAGTTCTTCCAGTCTTGCTTCAAGTGAATTTTTCAAATTCCCCAGCTCCTTCGACCTATTCCAGCTTCAGAAGAATAAGGCTCTGAGTGTTCTAGAACACTTACGGTTCAACACATCAGCCAGCTGCCCATAGTCACACTTGTTCCATTTCTTCCACACCAGTTTCCAAGTAGCTGGATATGGCAGATATCTTCAAATCTATACCATCTATTCCCAATTCTCAGGGAAGTAAACATAAGATTCAATAACATAGGGCAATGGTCAGAAGAAAGTCTCAGAAGGTGTTTAATAGTGGCCAAAGGGGCAAGTCTAAGACCTTCAGAATTCATAAGAACTCTGTCCAATCTAACCCAAATCTTGCTGTTCTTAGCTTTATTATTCGTCCAGGTAAACCTCGGTCCAATAAAACCCAGGTCATGTAAATCATTATCAACTATAAAGGCCGCCATCTCTTGAGCAACCACAGAATAGCTATACCATCTCCCACCCTTCTTCTCACTCTGGTCAAGACAACAGTTAAAGTCCCCTCTAACTATCATTGGCAGATCAACATCAAGACTAGAACCAATAGTATTCCATAGTAACCGATGACTATGGTAACTCTTACTGGCATAAACCAAAGCAATCCCCCACTTCTGAAAATTGGGCAGCATCAAATAGCCAACAATCGCTTGATCCATCATCGAAACAACCACAAATTGGGTTGTATCTCGTCTCCACAGTGCCAGCTGACCTCCAGATCTTCCAACTGCTGGGAAATGAAAAAAATCCCAGTTATTACCAATGAGTCTATCTACTTCAGTCCTGGTAATGTCTTCAATCATCGTCTCAATTAAACCAACAAACAGCACCTCATTGTTCCCAATGAGGCTACGCAGATAGTGCCCAGTTTATTTCTTTCGGGCACCCCTGTAGTTCCATATAAGGATGGATGACATTAATGAACAAAAGGGGAAGCGTCCCCGCCGCTCTAGTCATCAACACCCTCCTTCTTCCTCTTCCTTGGGAGCTCCTCAATAGAACTCAATTGATTAAGCTCCTTCACAATCTTATACTTGTTAGGCTTACGCAACACAGGTTTAATTCCATCTATAAACAGCAAAGGCTGTTTAAATCCCATCTTCGCCTGCTTACGAGTGGGCATAATCTTTCTCTGAGGCTCCTTAACTCTACTCAAATTCACCTGAGTTGAGGGCTTCATCATCGTCTTATAAGCATTAGTCTCTTTACTCTTTCCTTGCGGTCTCACATTTCTCCTACGACGAGGAGGGACCTGGATCCACGGTCCCAATTGGTCTTCAGCTTCCTGTTTAGATATACCACTGTTTTCCTTCTTAAATGTCACCAAATTTCCCTTCTTATTATGTTCCACCCCTGACTTCTCCAGGCTATTCGTATTAGTCCCCCCACGGCTGCTTTCTCCTCCTTTGTTCCTCAGCTGTTCTCCCAAACTCTTAGACGTGAGATCTCCCTGCCAAGTCACTTTGGAAGGGCAGGATTCCCTTCTTATGCTCGACTCAACCACAGCCATAGCACATTAATCTAATGCCTTCATATTCCACCTTATGGTAGAATTTACCATTCCAGCCATTAACCCAAACACCAGCCTGTAGTTTTTTAGCAAAGTTCATCCGAACACACACACGAGCATACTCCCTCCTACCCCAGTTTTCCATATGCGCATCAATCCAAAGAGGAGTTCCGATCCGAGAAGCAATTCTAGAGATATTATCATCATCCCAATATTGCAATGGGAGGTTAGGCAAACGTATCCAGACCGGGGAAGATAGGCCTTCCATGGACGTCAGAGAGAAACCAGGAGACCATCTGTCCAATCCAACAAGATTGCAGCCAACGAACCAGAGGCCACCACACAGGACCTCATCCCTAGCTTCCACAGAGGAGAAAATACAAATAAAATAGTCAGAACCCATAGTGGTTAGCTGAAACTCACCGAACCTTCCCCATTGCCTTTGAAGTTCAGACTTTAAAAGAAAATACGAGACTGTTCTTCCCAAAATTTTGCTAACCCCGCACGTTCCAGCATTGCCATATTGGCCTTAACACCTTCAAGATTAAGATCAATAGAACCATCAGCTGCAATAGAATTAATCTTCTCTGGATGCAGGATCTGAATGTGTTTCGGCTTCCTCCATGGGTTTCTAGTGCCATTCATGAACGAGAGACCTTGAGTCCTGGATGACCCCTCAGTCTCCCCTCGATCAACACTAGTTTGACCTTCATAAGCATAATCACAACCAGCTGGGGTGCTGTCCAACAGTTTACTCACACTAGATGAGCTGCAATCATCTCTTATCACTCCCGCAACTACATCAATAGCCACATCCATAACCAAAGCTACATTTCGTTCATCCAAATCGGCTTTGTCCAATACACCAATGCTCCGATCAGCTAGATCCAGACACACATCCATAGAGCAGGATCATCCCGACATAGTTGCATTCACATCAAAAATCTCCTCCATCTCCTCCCTACAATTAACAGTAGGATTACTCACCTCCACCTCCATCGAGGAATCCAGCTCACAGAACATCATAATGATAGTCATTTTCACCTTCAATTTTAATTTCGACTCCTTATCCCCATTCGGAGGAGACAGCTCCAGATTATCTCCTCCATATCTGGAAAGATCAAATCCACCCTTACCAATTTGCATTGCTATTTTAGGTTCCAAGCTCCGCGATTTGGCCTCCCAGTAGCCTTCTCCCATTTCTTCCGATCTAGCTTTCCCTTCATCATGAGCTTTACCCTTCACCTTACTTGTCGTAGATTTACTGGGAGATCGCTCCCCAAATTTCTTCGTACCACCAGAACATACTCCAGACAATCGTCGCTAGTCACCGCCAGCATTTTTTTCACCACCGCCCCTGCTTAAGTGGGGGGCGGGTGACCGAAGGTCACCCCCTGCCATCCCCAAAGTTTCTCTCACTAGAATCCCCAAGAGAGATAAAGAATAGGGTGGAAATGATGCTTGAATAACAAAAAGAGAGAGAGGGAGAGAGAGAGAGATAAATAGAAAGAGAGAGTGTGTGTCTGAAGCAACAGTGGAATGGAGAGAGAGAGAGAGAGAAGCAATGGAGGAATGGAAAGAGAGAGAGAGAGATAGGCAATAGAGGAATGGAGAGAGAGAGAGGCAATAGAGGAATGGAAAGAGAGAGAGAGATAGAGAGAGAGAGTGTGTGTGTGTGTGAGAGAGAGATAGAAAGAGAGAGAGAGAGGCAATAGAGGAATAGAAAGAGTGAGATAAAGGGAGAGAGAGAAGTAATAGAGGAATGGATATATATATATATATATATATATATATATATATAAAAAATTACCCACCAAAGCCAAGTGGGCACAAAAGTCCGCCGGCCGGTTACTTTCACGACGAATGTGTTGGAAGAGGACTTGCTTGAACTGCAAAAGAAAGGAGAGGTCGGGGCCCTCAACCCGACGGTGGACCGCACAATTCCGATCGCCCAAACCTTGCATCCACCGCACCGCATTGCTACAGTCACTCTCGATGATAATCCCGTCCACCTCAAACATCCACTCCTCCAGTAACTCACCAATAGCAGCCGCAGCCAGCAGCTCCACTTGCAAAATGTCCCAATGCTCAACTTCACGGCCAGCGGCCAGAATGAGGGCGCCATCACAATTCCGGATCACAATGCCCAAGCCCGCCTAATAGGACGGATGCAGGGAAGCGTCTATGTTGAATTTAAGCCAACCTGGAGGGGGGGAACACCGTAGTTTGTGAGGAGGCAGCCCAAGGGGCTGAATAGTGCTCCATTGCTCCAGCATCGGCATAATAAACGTACGCGGCAGCAGGATAAGATCGTAGCAGCAATCACATAAGGGGTACGATACGACCGCCCATATCGCATATTGTTCCGGGCATGCCATAGCTGGTAAACCGCATAGCAGTAGATTCTTCCAATGCTAGGATTCGAAACCATCCCCTCAGCAAGCACCGTTAATAGCATCCCCAATGAGCTCACATTTGGCATGTTGAAACCCCATCTTCTCAGCGTGTTCATAACACAAGTCAGTTTGGAGCATTGAGCAACACAGTGATCCAGAGTCTCCTCAACCGCACACCCCCATGGGCAAAGCGACGAATCCACCAAGCCCCTCCGCAGCAGCCACATGTTACATGGAATACCCCCTTAAGAACTCTCCACCAGAAAAAATACTCTCGGGGGTGGAGCTTAAGCCTTTCAAACCAGAGAAAATTAAAATCATCACCCCCAACCATCATAGCCCCGTAAGCCATGGCAGCCACCGAGGAGCTAGCTTAAGAGTAGCAAAGATTCGGGCGGTCGTCCCCAGATCCACGCAAGGTAGGAATATAAATAATTCTTTAGGCCATAATCGTCCCAAAGATCTCCTTAACCTTTTCCACACCCCAATTGAGGTTCTGGTCCAATAACTGTCCCACCCTACCTTCCTCAAGCGCCCCAACGTCAACAAAGGTTTGCCAGCGAGCAATACACCGGTCCAGAATCCAGGTATCTTGAAGCACACTTATCTCCTATCCGTTACCAATCTCCCACCTTATAATCGGTCTAAGGGCATTCGCACCATCCTGCATTACACGCCATGCCGTAGAAACATGACCACCATGAGCCTGCTTCCACAAGTCGCTGCCATACTTAGCCGCAAGAAGCCTGTGCAGCAAAGACTCAGGATCAGCGAGAAAGTTCCACGCCAATCTAGCCCGCAGAGCACTCTGCCATCTGCATAGATCACGAAAGCCCAACCCTCCTTGCGCCTTGGGCCGACAGAGCTCCTCCCAAGCAATATAATGCATTCCTCTGGTTCCCGTCTCCTTCTGCCATAGAAACGTCCTCGCATTTTTCTCCATTTCATGAAGCACCCCATGCGGAACAATGGTGTGCGTGATTAAGAACATAGGAGTGGCAAGAAGGGAAGTTTTAATAAGCAGAGCACGACCAGCCTGCGAAAGTAACTTTGAACCCCACAAGTTCATTTTGTCCTGAGTACTCTTGATAAGGCCCCCAAAATCCGCCCGCTTAGGCCTGCGCTGCACCATTGGAAGACCTAGATAATCAAAGGATCTTACTTTCCTAAATCCCACCAGTTTGGCCATTGCCCTTTGTCTCCAACTTGGGCATTTTCTATTAAACATCACAGCCGATTTCCAGCAATTGATACGTTGCCCCATCCAACTACAATAAGTCTCCAGTAACTTTAAGATCCGTTTAGCATTACAACAAGACGCCTCACCAAAGATCAGAATATCGTCAGCGTATAGGAGGTGAGACACCCGCTCTTAATTTCGGGCAACTTGAATCCCGAGGTCCGCACCCCACTATCTGAATCCCTTAGAGAGCAATTCAGAACATAGGATGAAAAGATAAGGTGACAAGGGGCAGCCTTGTCAGAACCCACTCTCCGCCCGGATCCAATCCGTTCTCTACCCATTGATTAATAACGAAAACTTGGGCCAGGTAACACATTGGATAATCCAATGAATAAATTTCTCGCTGAAACCCATAAGTCTCATGACCTTATCCAGAGTGCTCCAGGCCATGCAGTCGTACGCTTGCTCCGTGTCAACCTTAAGAGCCATCATACATGATTTTTGGGACGAATGCTTAAGTTTTTCCATCACCTCCTGGGCAATCAAACTGTGATTTGTGATGCTCCGACCAGGGACAAACGCCCCCTGCTCCTCGCCCACAATGCTACTACGCACCGGCTTCAACTGGTTAATCAGAACTTTAGCCACCACCTTGTAGAAGCTCTGACACAAGCTAATCGGTCGGAATTTACTCGGCTGATTCGCATTAGCAAGCTTCGGGATAAGAACAACCATAGTTTCCTTCCAGTTCTCACACATAGAATTAGTGCAAAAGAAATGGGAGATGGCCCGAGAGACATCTCCCTTAATGATTTCCCAATAAAATTTCAAAAAGTAAGCATTGATACCGTCAGTGCCAGGAGAACGGTTGTTGCCAAGAATGAAGCCTGCCTGCCGAATTTCCTGATCCGTCACCTCCGCTTCCAACATGGTTTGAAAATGAGCAGGAACTCTATCTTCATCATTGAAAACCGGCCAGTCTTCAAATCTCACCTGCCTATCTCTCCATTTCAGCGAGAAAAAGTTCCAGAATTCGTCATGGATAAGATGCGGCTCCAGGATCCGTTCTCCATTGCTGTCGGATAGTTCCTTAATAGTGTTCCCACGCCTGCGAGCAGAAGCGTTAGTATGAAAGAAATGGGAGTTGGCATCTCCCTCTTCGATCCATTTGGTCTTAGCTCGCTGTCTCCACCACGTAGTTAAAAGAGCCAGCGTGGTGATAAGTTCCCCAGCCAAACGACGGAGCTCAGCATCTTGTTCGGCCGTCAGACCATCCAGCGAGGCCTCTGCTATCTGCAGCGTCTCAATGCGGGCTTCCAACAAAGATTTCAGCTCCCCCAGTTCCTTCAGGAGATTCCGACTCCAGTGGTACAGAGCCCGCAACGTTCTGGAACATTTACGATTCAAAATAGCATCCGGTTGCCCATAATCAATTTTTGTTGCAATTCTTCCACACCAGCTTCCAGGTTGCTGGATACGTCATCCAGATATCTTCAAACCGTAGCCATTTGGATCCCTTAGAGCGAGAGGCCGACTCCAGGGTCACCAACAACGGGCAGTGGTCCGAAGCAATTCGGATAAGATGTCATACATTAGCCAACGGGGCACGCCGTAAGCCTTCGGAGTTCATCAGAACACGATCAAGCCTAACCCAAATTTTACTACTGCCACTTTTGTTATTATACCACGTAAAGGTGGGTCCTGAGAATCCCAGATCATGGAGATCATTGGCACTCATAAATTCCACCATTTCTTGAGCACCAGCCGAATAGGAAAAATGCCGGCCACCCTTCTTCTCCTCTTGCGCCAAGCAGCAGTTGAAATCCCCTCTCACAATAACTGGGAGGTCCGAAGTAATCAATCCGCCAATGTCATTCCACAATATCCTTCTAGAGTGGTAATCCTTGCTGGCGTACACCACAGCTACCAACCACCGATCCAGGTTAGGGAGAACAAGCCACCCTACCAGAGCTTGATTCGTAGCCAAGCAAACATCAAACTGAGCAAAATCGCATCTCCAAAGGGAAAGAATACCCCCCGAGCGACCATTAGCTGGGAAGTGAAAGTAATCCCAATTCCTCCCGATAATTCTATCCACATCAGTACGATTGACCTCTTCAATCATAGTTTCAGTCAGTCCAACAAAGTACACCTCATTATTACTAACAAGGCTGTGCCCGTCTGTTTCTTACGGGCCCCCCTACAGCTCCAAAAAAGGGCCGTGGTCATTGGTTAACCAAAGGGGAAGCGTCCCCGCCGCAAACCGTTCCACCCTCCTCTTTCTTACGCTTTTGAGGGATCTCGACAGGCGATTCAAGTAAGCTCAATTCCTTATCAAGGGAGAACCGGTTGACCACCGGAGTCTCCCGCCTAATTCCAGCCGTAAAAGGGAGGGGTTTCTTGAATCCCATACATTTCTGCACTTGGGTAGGCCGCACCTTGCTCTGGGGCACACCCACCTTACTCAGATCAACTTGCTTCGGAGCGATCCCTTTCCCCTTCGAGGTACTACTTGGTCCACCATTATTCGGCACACGGGAGTTCCTCCTCCTCCTAGGAAGCACTTGGATCCAAGGTCCCACTTCATCTTCATTGTCTTCCGCACTAGCCCGACAAGCCTGGTCCACACAAGAGGAGCCAGGTCTAGACTCAATGCTCCCACTACCGACGGGGCCTCAAACCGAAGGAGGGGGAGCAGGCCCATCAGCAGAAGCACTAGCGGTCCCATACATAGAGGAAGTCCCCAGATCAACCCCACTCGGCCGGGAGGGGGGAGGAGTGATCGGACTCTTCCCAGCCTGGTTACGAGGAGGCTGCATCCCTCTAGAACCATTAAGATATCGACTTTCCGAGCTATTCTGCCTGCTGGGGCATTGTTCCTTTCGGTGACCCACTCTGCCACAGCCATAACACATAACTCCAATTCCCTCATACTCCATCGGTTGGAAGAATTTCCCTTTCCACCCGTTAATCCACACTCCATCAAGTAATTTAGTAGCCAGGTTCATCCTTACACAAACGCGGGCGTATTCTCTGCGGCCCCAACTCCCAGTCTGCGCATCAATCCACAGAGGAGTACCAAATCTGGAAGCAATCCTAGCAATGTTACATTCATCCCAATACTGCAGAGGCAGGTTCGGCAACCGAATCCACACCGGAGAAGACAGCCCCTCCATCGAAGCCGGAGAGAAGTCCGGTGACCACCTATCTAGCCCCACCAAACTACCTCCAATGAACCACGACCCTCCACTTAGGACAGCATCCCTTGCCTCCACCGCAGCAAAAATACAAGCAAAGCAGCCATGGCCGAGCATGGTGATTTGAAAGTCCCCAAATCGGCACCATTGCCGTTGGAGATCCGCTTTCAGAGTGTAGAAAGAGAAGCTTCTACCGATAATCTATCCCACTACCGCACGATCCAACATATCCATATTGGCCTTCACCCACTCCAGGTTCAGGTTGATGGTGGTTCCATCCCATCAAAGGCATTAATCAATTCAGGATTTGAAATCGGAATGTGCTCCGGTTTCTTCCAGGGATTCCCAGCCACCGCCGTGAAGGGGTTACTCGAAAGGAGTGCAAAGAAAGAGAGAGAGAAGAAGAAGCAGTGGAGAGCACTAATAATCATAAGAGCAAGCTAGAGAGCAAAAGAGAGAGTAGAGGAGAAGAGAGAGAGAGGAGAAAGTGGAGAAAGGGGTAGAGATAGAGACGGGAGAGAGATGAGAAGAAGAGCAAAAGAGCCAAGGAGTGCAAAGAGAGAGAGATAGGGAAAAGAGAGCAAGCAGGAGAAAGAACAAAATAAGAAAGGAAGGGATGAGGAAGCAAGAGAGAAGAGGGACAGAGATAAGAGAAAATAGATGAGAGATGAGGAGAAGAAGAAGAAGAAGAAAGAGCAAGGGATGCAGAAGAGAGGGAGAAGAGCAGAGAAAGAGGCACAACGAGGAGAAGAAGTAGAAGGAGAGCAAAGAAAGACAAGAGAGAGTAGAGAGAGAGAGAGAAGATGACGATTAAGAGAGTGAGTAAGAGAGAAGAGAGGAGAGGGAGAAAGAGAGGAAGTGTAAGGAAAAGCAAGGAGTGGCAAGAAGATGAGAGCAAAGAGGAGAGAGAGAGAGAGAGAGAGAAGAGGAGGAAGAAGAGAGAGAGGAAAGAGAGTAATGGAGAGAGGGAGATAGGGAGAGAGAGAGGGAGATAGGAGAGAGAGAGAGAAGAGAGAGAGAGAGAAGAGAGAAGAGAAAGTACAGAGGAAGAAGAGCAAGAGAGAGAAGAGAGAGAGAAAGAGAGGAGTACAAGGAGAGAGAGAAAGAGAACATGGATTTAGACAAGAGATAGATAGAGGAAAGAGATGATAGAGAGAGAGAGAGAGAGGAGGCAGAGAAAAGCATCAAGGAGTGGCAAGAGGAAGTAATAAGGAGAGAGGCCAAAAAATAACAAGGGAGTGCAAGCAGGATGAGCAGAAAAAAGCAAAGAAAGGAGGCAAGAGTGAGAGAGAGAGCAATGAGAGCAGCTACTGAGAGCAAGAGAGAGAAGAGACTGAGAGAGAGCGAGAGGCGAGAGGGATGTGAGAGAAAAGAGAAGAAATACTAGACGAGAAGTAAAGCAAGTGAGAGCAAGCTACAAAGAGCAAAGCTAGAGAAAGAACAATAGCGAGCAAGGCGAGAGAGCAGAGAGAAAAAGAAGAAGAGAGAGAGAAGAGAGAAGAGAGAGAGAAGAAGCAGAGAAGAAGAGCGA